GCAAGAAAGAATACCTACAATGCAATTCTGCATATGTAAATTCAAAAGCAGGGAAAAAACTATAGTTTTTGTAAATGCATACATTAATGGTAAAATGGTTAAAAAAAAGAAAAAGAAAATTGATTATTATAAAAATCAGACCAGTGATGACCTGGGTTGAAGGAGAGGGAGGCACATATGAGGCCTCTTGGTATTAGCAGTACTCTACATCTGAACTTGGCTGTTCATTATGTGGGAGTTGGTGTCCTAATTATTATTTAAACTGTACATTTGTATTTATACAGTTCTTCATATATGACATACCCCCTAAATAAGAAGTTTATAAATAATTTTATCGCAAAAGAAAATGTCCCCCATCCTATATTTGTTCTGGTTCTTTTTAAAAAGTATATTTTATTGATTATGCTATTACAGTTGTCCCATTTCCCCCCTTCATTTCCCTCCATCCTGCACACCCTCTCCCACCCACATTCCCCCCTTTACTTCATGTCCATGTGTCTTAAGTTCTTTAGCTTTTACATTTCCCATACTCTTCTTGCCCTCCCCCTGTCCATTTTCCCCCCACTGTCTATGCTACTTATTCTCTGTACCTTCTCCCCCCTCCTCCCACTCCCTCTGTTGCCAACCCTCCATGTGATCTCCATTTCTGTGGTTCTGTTCCTGTTCTAGTTGTTTGCTTAGTTTGTTTTTGTTTTAGGTGTGGTTGTTAATAGTTGTGAGTTTGCTGTCATTTTACTATACATGGTTTTTATCTTTTTCTTAGATAAGTCTCTTTAACATTTCATAAAATAAGGGCTTGGTGATGATGAACTCCTTGAACTTGACCTTATCTGAGAAGCACTTTATCTGCCCTTCCATTCTAAATGAAAACTTTGCTGGATAGAGCAATCTTGGTTGTAGGTCTTTGGATTTCATGATTTGGAATACTTCTTTCCAGCCCCTTCTTGTCTGTAAGGTCTCTTTTGAGAAATTTGCTGACAGTCTGATGGGAACTGCTTTGTAGGTGACTGTCCCCTTATCTCTTGCTGCTTCTAGGATTCTCTCCTTCATTTTTATCTCAGGTAATGTAATTATGATGTGCCTTGGTGTGTTCCTTCTTGGGTCCTCCTTCTTTGGAACTCTGAGCTTCCTGGGTTTCCTGAAAGTCTATTTCCTTCACCAGATTGGGGAAGTTGTCCTTTATTATTTGTTCAGATAAGTTTTCCACTCGTGGCTGTTCCTTTTCCCCTTCTGGTACCCCTGTAATTTGGATGTTGGAACATTTAAAGATATTCTGGAGGTTCCTAAGCCTCCTCATATTTTTAAATTCTTATTTCTTCATTCTTTTCTGTTTGGTTGTTTCTTTCTTCCTTCTGGTCCACTCCATTGATTTGAGTCTCATGGTCCTTCCCATCACTATTGTTTTCCTGTGCATTTTGCTTCATTTCACTTAGTGTAGACTTCATTAGTTCATCTGATTTGTGACCAAATTCAACCAGTTCTGTGAGCATCCTGATCACCAGTGTTGTGAACTGTGCATCTGATAGGTTGGCTATCTCTTTGTCCCTTAGTTGTATTTGTTTTGGAGCTTTGATTGGATCTTTCATTTGGGCCATTTTTTTTTTGTCTTGATGCACCTGTTCCATAGTGAGGGGCAGGGCCTTAGGTGTTTGCCAGGGTGGGGCAAACCAGTCACTGCATTGCAATGCTGTATGTGGGGGCAGAGTTTGAGAGGGAACAATTGCACTTGCTCTGCTCTCTGCTAGGTTTTAGTCCCTTCTGCTGCTTTCCCCAAGCAAACTGGGCTGATTCTTGTGTGGGTGGGCTTGTGCGCATTCTAGGACCCTGTGGGTCTCTCCAACAAACTCTCCTGTGAGGCTGGGAGTCTCTCCCTGCACCTCAACCCCCACAGGTATTTTCAATGACTGTTTTGAGGCTTTATTTCCCAGTGCTAGGACCCTAGATTGCACAATCTGTCTCTCTCCCCAGTTATCTGCATGCGAATGTGGTACTGCTGCTAGTCAGCTAACTGCCTTGTGCGTGGTGCCTCACTTCTCAATCGCCACCTTGCTGGGTCTCTTCATTGCCACCCCATGCCTGGGGTCTGCCAGCCTCCACCTGGGTGCACAGGGTCTGCCCAGTGCCATCTTGCATGCCCAGGGTGCCTTGTGTGCCTGGTGGCACTGCTTCATGTGCCATGACCCCTCTCTGCTCGGCTGCCCAACTCTGCCCAGCCTACTGGTATGAATGAATGTGTCTATTTAAGCTCCTTGGCTGTCCAACTTCCATACAGTTCAATTTTCTGTCAGTTCTGGTTGTTATTTTGTTTCTAAATTTTTGTTGTCCTTATTTTGGTTGTGCAAGGAGGCCCAGTGCGTCTATCTATGCCTCCATCTTGGCCAGAAGTCCTGTTCTGTTTTTTTTTAAATCACTATTTATTGTTATTCTATTACAGTTGTTCCAGTTTCTCCCCTCTGCCCATCCCACCCCCTACTCCCACACAAATCACCAATCCAAAAGAACCTATGCACCCCTATGTTCATAGCAGTGCTATTTACAATAGCTAAGTGCTGGAAGCAGCCTAAGTGCTCATCAGTAGATGAGTGGATCAAAAAATGTGGTACATTTACACAATGGAATACTACACAGCAGGAATAAAGAAGACGCTCCTACCTTTTGTGACAACTTGGATGGAACTGGAGAATATTATTTCGGTTCTTTCACAGTTTGTTTGAATTGTAGGATATGCCCAATGGTTATGAAAAATAAATATTTTATTCTTTCATGTATTATTTAGTTATTCATCCAGGTCAACTATTAAAATGAAGGAATGATAGTATTTTAAAATAAATATACTTTTCTTATAGTCAGATACATTTGGTGGTATGAACTAGTGATAAACAAAGTGTTAACAAAATAGAAGACCTGTCAGTCCTGTTTGGGGAACAGTTTAGAATCTTGTGCAGTTAGTATGCTTATTATCTGTATGTATATAATAAGTTATGGTCGTTCCCATGGTTAGATTGTCCTTTAGACATGGAGGGTAAGAACATATATGTGATGAAAGAGGTGGATGAGTTTTTGCCACAGTTGCAACTGAGTTCCATAATTTTCTCTATACCAGTCTCACAACTGAAAGAGTGAAGACTCATAACTATTTCCATTTTATAGGTGGAGAATCATTTTTGAAATATTTGTTTTTGTTTTTTTTAAGGAAGGAGGTATGAATGTGCCTGCTGATTATATTGTTATATGTTTTGCCTCCAAAAATTCAGAGAGGTGGAGTTGGGAACATGTACAGTCCCATGAGGATTTCAGGAATGCTCATTTCTGTTGAAGAATGCATAGTTAGTCTTTTCTTGATATCAGAGTCTTGCTCTTACATTTTATTGGGCTGAGTGTCTTTCTCTACTATACTTTTTAGTTTATCCCATAAAAAAACAATTTTAATCCTCCTTTTAAACATAAGTTTCCTGTGGCATAGGCTGTGTTTCTCCTATTTGATCACAGTGTGAATTCCTGATTCTCATCTCCCACATGTTAAGTTGACAGCTGCATAATCCCAAAATGCATTCTTGCAATGACTGCCAATATTTTATGATGACATCCCAGGAATTCAATTGCAGCTGCCTAACTGATATAAGTGGTATCTTTATTATTTGGTGAGTTAAACAGACATATTAAGTGCATTTGTTACAAGTACAATATGCTACATATGCCTTACTTATTATAGTGAAAAATTAGAAACAACCCTACTATCCATCAATGGGGAAATGGTTAATTAAATTACAGTATATTGCTACACTGTGGAATACTATACAAACCCTCTAAAAGAAAATACATCTGAATTTATGTGTCAGGGTCCCCATCAAGCACTTTATATGTATCATTTCATTTAATTTCCACAACCCTATGAAATTCCCACTTTATAGATGAGGACACTGAGACTTGCCCAAGGTTTCACAGTTAGTAAATGATATAGCAGTAATTAGATATAAGTTCTATAACCTCCAAATTCATTTCTTTCTTCTGCTACATTTTACTAGTTTATGAATGTCAAAGCCATCTATACTGTTGACTTTCCTTTCATGGAGACTTGATTCAAGATAACAGTGTTATTTTTTTTCTTAGTCCCTTCACTTTTTCACCCAGCCTCCCAACACCCTTCCCCTCTCACAGTTGTCAGTTTGTTCTCCATATGTACGAATGTATTTCCATTTTGTGTTTTAGCTTATTTTGTTCACTAGATTTCACATATAAGTGAAATCATATGGTATTTGTCTTTTTCTAACTGGTTTATTCACTTAGCATAATTCCACTCATAGACACAGACATCAGTATGGTAATTACTAAAGGGATGGGTTAGGGGAGGTAGAATAAGGTAAAAAGGGATAAATGTGGTGGAAGGACACTTGACTTTGGGAGTAAACACGCAACACAATGTACAGGTAGTGTATTATAAGACTGTACACCTGAAACATATATGTTTATTAACCAATGTTACCCCAATAAATTCAACAACAAGTTTTTCAAAATAAAATTGATTTGCATAAACATAAAAAATAGGAAGAGAATCATCTAATAGTAAAAACAAACACATCTAAAGTATCAAAGCTAAATTACTTCCCAAGGAGGTAAGTTTCCTGTATATTCCATGATTAAAACAAAATTTAAGAGCATATACATATATGAATAATCTAGTGATGTGTGTAATCCAAGTCAGGGATTTTCTTGTATTTTCAGACTGGTCTCTCTGTTTAAAATGTCAGATTATGAGTGAAGTAAGTGAAAAGTCATACTTTTGTTCTAACAAAATTATTGATAATGTAAAGTATTACTTGAGCAGAGTGGGGCATGGTGGGGTAAAAATGGAGACAAGTGTACTTGAACAACAATATAAATAAATAAATAAATAAATAAATAAATAAATAAATAAATACTTTTGCAATGTGCAGTAATCTAAAAATTATATTACTTGTATGCTTGTGTTTAACAACTTTACATTGTTTAACTATTTACAGATGGACAAAAGAGGAAGAAATCTTTGAGAAAGAAACTGGATTCACTGGGGAAGGAGAAAAACAAAGACAAAGGTAAGGGACAGAATGAACTAAAGTGAATACATCTTCCATGGAACATAATGGTTGAATTTGGTGGGATTTTTGAATTGCGTAGATTTATGTGGTTCAACTCTATTATGTAAAGTGGATTTTTATGATGGAAGATCATTAAAGACTGTTTTGGTTTACTCCTTTGTGTTTGAATGGCCCTGTACTGAATTGATGAGTTCAACTGGTTTGAGCAAAGTGTGACTTCAGCCAAGTTTATGGTTCCAATTATGATTCTGGCCAATCAGCTATGCATAGAGAGAACCTTGGTTGAGTAGCCATGGATAGCATCTCTAACATTAACCAGCTGTCTGGCAAATTCAGATATTTAGGCAGGGCTAGCTGAATGAGAAAGAGTTTGGATTCACCTACCATGACTACTAAAAAAACAGTCTCATCTTCATGGATTACTGAAGATGAGCCATTCTCAGCATTTTTATGTTAGATTATAGCATATGTATTTTTTGCCCTATATGTTTTGGGATTTGTTGACTATGTCCATAGTGTTTTGTGTCCCCTTTTATGTCTATATAGGGAATTGACACTTTAGCCACTCTTTCAGAGGTATTTGTGGTCATTTCAAACAATGCTCATTGAATCCATACAGTAGACATTTGGCCCCCATTAGCACAGTACAACTTTTTGTGTTTGTTTCCATGGTCCCAGTATGAAATGACTGCTGAACAGTGTGCTTGTATGAATGTAGTTTCATTTTATGTGACATAGTAAATGAGTGTTGAGTAAGGAGAGTAATATGCCTCACCTAGGTGTTCTTTTATATTATATAACTATTGAATTTCTGCTTGAAAACCAATAGAAGGCAATAAACTGAAGATATAATACATAAATGCACTGTAATCAGTAATGGAGAACACAGAGTCCACATCATTAATCCCAGACTCCACACCCATATCTTGAACCATGTCTAAAGGGTCATGACATTTGCTTCTTTGGGATAAAAGAGATAAAGAAGTATGAAGAATGGAAAACCAGTGCTTTACTTTCCATAGAGCATGATTTGTTAACCTAGGGACTATTGACATTTTAGACTGGATAATTTTTTGTTGTGGGGCACCTGTACATTGTGTGAGGCGTTTTGTAACATCTCTGGCTTCTACCCACTAGACAGGTGCCAATAGCACCTTCCCCTACCAAAATATCTCTAGACATTTAGATTGTTTATTTCAAACTGGAGGAAAGGGGATAAATACCCATGATTCCCTACTTCTGATTGCACAATAGAATATTTTGTGAAACATTTTACATTTTCAATGTCCAATCTAACACCCAAGAAAGTCTGATTTCATTGATCTGTAAGTGCACTGGGCATGAGTAATTTTACCACTACTAATGTGCAACTTATAAAATGAGAACTCTGGTCCATATTCACCAGTAAACCTACCAGGCCATGTCCTGTCACAAAAGAATCTGCTACAGGAATAATGAAGGTAAAGGGTGCTGACTCTTGGTCCAGCAATCTATCTTGTCTGATAAATTGTATTCTATTTGATTAGTTTATATGTGCTTGCCCTGAGTTTTAAATTAATATTAGCAGTCAGGATAGCTTTTGTAAACTAGTTTTTACTCATTATTTTCCTGTCACAGACCACCTTTATCTGGCTAGATTAGTACATTAAAGCAATGTGTGCTCTTTAAAATTGGATTATTCTAGCCCTGGCTGGTGTGGCTCAGTGGATTGAGCACTGGCCTGTGAACCAAAAGGGCACGCTGGTTTGATTCCCAGTAAGGGCACATGCCTAGGTTGCTGGCCATGTCCCTGGTTGGGGCATACAGGAGGCAGCTATACATTGATGTTTCTCTCCCTCTATTCTTCTCTCTCTAAATATAAACGAATAAAATCTTTTAAAAAAGTAAATAAATAAAGTTGGATTATTCTAGGATGATGATATTTATATAGGGATTTGAATACTCATAATGTAGACTTAGGTGGTTCTCATTCAGGCTAAACTAAGCAGATGAGCATTTTTTGTGGGAGATGTTTGAGTTCTCACAACAGAGGGAAACGTATGTGTGCTTGCTTTATAACACAAAATGGCAGGAAGCAAGAATGTGAGTGAGCACTGAAGGAAGGGCAGGGGAAGTAATCGAATATGCACTGGGCCATTGTACATTTTTTGAGCAAATCATATTTATATATTATACAGGCTCAGTGAAAACTTGTCAGTGTTCTATAAGGCTGCACAGAGAGCTGACTGGGGAGAAACAGGTCCTGATGATTCCAAAGAAAAGACATCACCCATGCAACTAAGGGGAGAAATATCAGGTCTCATGGCAAAAAAGGTTTTTTTTCTTTTTTAAAGTAGCTATGATATTTAAAAAGAAGATGTCCTAGGCTTAAGTGAAGCTTAATTGTATGTCATCTTTTCCAAACATAAAGCCCTGTCTATATCAACATAACCATTGCATGGATGTCCTGGTAACCAGTGTGGGAGGGGGCAACATGCAGATCTTGCATAGTTGTAATCAGTTCACATTATTTTCTTCTATTTGAATATTATCATTTGGGTTAATAACAGCTGCACATGTAAAAAGTGATAGTCATTTGAATCCAAGAGTAAAATAGGGAAAACAGGAAACTCTAAATGACCTCTTGGTTTAGATCATCTAAAAATAAATAGGAGCATCTTATTAGAATCAAATTGCTTTCCCAATAGAGATTCACTAGATGTTTGGTATGCTGCTACACTAATTGATTTGAACAAAATGAATCATGTCCTGTATTTTATTTACCTGCTTGACACAATATACATCAGATCATGGGACACTTCTGCATCCCTCCTACCATTTAGGCAGTGCCCATATGACTTCTCATTTCACGTAGAAACTAATTCAAGACTGATGCTGGTTCAGAAAAAATGTTTTCATACAGAATAGTTCCAAACCTTTAATTTCTCTTACCTTAATTACTTGGCAACCAGCAAAAGTTTTTAACCTTTTAGAACTTTAGAAAATTTCTTGCTTTTATCAAAAAGAAATCACCTTGGGGGTAAAAGTTTGAAAATAATTACTTTGTTCCAGTTAATGGAATTCCTAATCAGATCACCAAGAGAATGGATTTTATTGTGGTGTAAGTCTGGGAGATTGGTCTCCTCTACACAGCATGTTTTCAGATCATGCCATATATTTATCAATATAAAATCTGGTGATTGTTCAGGTATGGCACCTTTTGCTGAAATCATACGTGCCATGTTTTATTGTTCCTGACTGTCTAAATAGGTTACTACATGTGAGCTGACATATAGGAATACTTGATACAAGTTTTTTTGCATCATATTAAATAGTAGTAGAAAAATCAAATATTGGTTATTACTATGTAGGAATTCTGAAAAAATGTTGTGAATGCTGTCAATGAATGATGGTACTGGAGATGAGAGAACCAGGGAGAGAGTGATTCTAGAGAAGAGTAGGAAGGAACTACCCCCATAAGCGTGAATGAGTCACGACACAGCTTTTGGTCTATATGCTAAGAATATTGAGACACCATCAAAGTATAGTGAGGAAAGGATGGCTTAATGCTATGTTTAGACAGATAGCCACAACACAGTGTAAAACATGAACTTGGGGTTGGGTGAGACAAGACTGGGAAGAAGCCTGATTCTAGAGGTGGAACCATTTTTGCTGAGGACAAAGTCCAGGATAGGATGGAGGGAGTAGATAAAAAAAGTGGCACACATGAAAAAGTAAGAGAAGGAGAGAAGGTCGAGAAGATGGGAAGGTAGAGAATCTGGTGGTTTATTTAAGTAGATATCCAAGTCACCCAGGATGATGGTAGATTAGGGTGGTCACACCATGAGTCAAACTCAGGGACAGTAGAATAAACCAATGATCAGGAGACAAGAGTAAACTCACAATAGCAAATTTCGGCCACACAGTGGGATGTTAATAATATGGGAGTTGCAGTAGGGAGCAAAGAGGATGGCATTACACCTCCAGTCTCCACAGTTCATGGATATGAAAGCAGATGGTTGTTACTAAAGATGACAGCTGAAGAGGCAGTCTCCTTAGTGAATGTATAACATAGATAAGAACATGATACACAGTGTCCCTGACCCCCAGACAGTGAGTCTTGGGTAATGTCCTTAAGTTTTAAAAACCTATTATCAATTTTATTAGCTGCTATCATCACAGAATTTCTAGGCTCCTATTTTCTGCTAACAGAGGAGCTTTGAACCTGCAGATAAGCATGGATGCCCAACAGTTTACACCTAAAGTAGGTTTTTGGTCAATATGCTGTGGTGAATTCTCAGTTTCACAATGGCCATAATTTGAGAAGCAATAATATTCAAGGAATTCTGCCTAGAATTTTATGGAAACTAGATGCTGCAATACAAGTTTAGAGCCATAGAGAGGTCTCATTTCTGGAGCCTATAAGAGTGCTCAAGAGAAAACAAGAAGAAAGTAAAGACTACATCAGAACCCTATTACCAAAAGAATAACTCAGCCAGGAATTAAAGTTTATTGGAAATAAAAATCTGTTATAGGTGGCTACATCCCTTGAATGTGAATGTGAATAAAATTTGGGGGAGAATGACTTCATGTATTCCATCTGTTTAATTTGTATTCAATTACTCCAGTTTACAAGTAGAGTGATGGACTTTAAGATATTAAAAATGACAGATTTCTTTCATATGTCTCTGGTCCTTCTGTATGTCCTCCTTGGAGAAGTGTCTATTCAAGTCCTTTGACCATTTTTTTATTGGATTGTTTGTCTTCCTGGTATGGAGTCATGTGAGTTCTTTACATATTTTGGAGATCAAACCCTTGTCCAAGCTATTGTTGGCAAATATATTTTCCTATATGGTTGGTTCCCTTTTCGTTTTACTGCTGTTTTCTTTAGTTGTGGAGAGTGATAATGGGTGAAAATAGGGGAAGGGCCATCAAGGAACATGTATGAAGGACATATGGACAAAGCCAAAGGGGGTAGGTTCGAGGGTGGGAGGTGGATTTAGGTGGAGCAGGGGACCATGGTGGGGTAAAATGGAGACAACTGTACTTGAACAAAAATTTTAAAGATATTTTAAAAATGACAGATTCCAAAGAAAACCCATTTTTCATCTTCTTTCCCCTAGGGATATTAGAAATCTCTAAATGAGACTAGTTTGTTTTCCTTGTATAGAAAACATGGCTAGGAGAGAAATTCATAGTCTACATCTCAAGTTAAATTCTGCTATGAGCCCTGGCTGGTGTAGCTCCATGGATTGAGCATGGGCCTGTGAAGCAAAAGGTTGCCGGTTCAATTCCCAGTCAGGGCATCTGCCTGGGTTGCAGGCCAGGTCACCAGTAGGGGACACATGAGAGGCAACTACACATTGATATTTCTCTTCTACTCTTTCTCTTTCCTGTCCCCTCTCTCTAAAAATAAAAAAAGTAAATTTTTTTTAATTCTGCTATGAGCATGCCTTTATGAGCAGACATGCCACTTGATATATTTATTAATGTCTTTTCGCTGTTATTATCCCCTAACAGTTTTTATATATCCTGTGTAACAGTCAGCCTTGCCATCCAACCTTTCCCAACCTTTCCCAATCTTTTTGAAGTAAGACTATTTGATTTTTCCCATAGGCAAGAAAGTGCTGATTTACATAATAAATCCTGAGGTGCACAGCAGGTGGTCTGGTACTGTCCCCTTTGGTCTCTAATTTTGCTAGTAGTGGAAGTGGTCTTTTGTCAGTAGTGAGTATTGGATCTTGCTATACTGTCCACACTGATCACTCAAAACAGATTCCTAAATTATTTTTGTATTATTATATGGCACCTGGTTTGTTGATGGAAAATGGTAAGCATCCTCTGAAAAATCCCAAAATGCTAAGTGAAAGTGCTGAAGTTTTCATTTTCCACTTCAAAATGAATTGCATGTTTTGATAGAACCAAGGTGCAGATTTTTCAAGTGTTATTTCTGCTTTTAATGTAGAGTTGGCCATTAGCTTAGTGATGTTAAAAATGTTGCCATGGTCAAAGAAGAAAACCCTTTAAAGCCTCTTTCCACCTGATTATGCAAGCTTTTTCCTTCAAAGAACAAACAACTTTAGAAATGTTTCTTCTTGATCATTCTGGTTTTGTTCATAGGGGTTATAAAAATAATGGAGAGGCAAGTCTCCAATTTGCTGCTGCTAGGAGAACCAATTTTGAGCCTAAAAGGAATAATTTAATTATTAATGCTTTTAAGCATGGATCTAAAATGTTGCCAATAAAATGCCTGGCCCTAAGGATTGGTGTGCTTACAATTTGTGTATACAAGTTATTACAGAAAATCAGAAAGCAACTGGATGTACATTTCCAAATAAAGCCATAGATTTCTGCATTATTCTTCTTTCTCAAAATTGGCTTTACTAAAGGATTTAACAAATTATATCCTGGGCCCTTCATGAGATATTTAATGGTGAGAATCCACTTCTGCATGATGCCAGCAGAAAGGCTTGAATATGGATGATGAGAGTGACAGCCCTAATCAGAAAAAAAAAAAAAAAAGAGGAAACTTCTTCCCAAGTTGCTCTTCTGTCTCTCAGATTATCGTTTTATGTGCTGGATTTTTTACTAGGAACCTAAACGTGTATGTACTTAACTGAATTTCAGTCTTTGTTTCATGCATCTCTCTATTTTAGCACATGATATACACTACTATGTTTATTTACACATCTGACTCTGCACTCCCTCACCCCACTCTTGAAACCTTTCAGGACCAAGGACTGGACCTACCTTTCATGAGCTCCATACTCCCCATTGTGTTATTTGTCATGGCATGTAATACATATTCAATAAGTACCTGTTGAATGAATGTATGAGTGCAGAGTCTTTCCATGCCTTGTAAATTTTGGGAATTCTTGAGACATAAATTGAAGACTAACAGTTTGTAAAACTTTGTACTCATGAAGATAAAGTATTATGCACATTCTATCAACAACATCACATTTCTCTATAAAGTTATTTTCTTTAGAACATATTCAGATATGTGAAAAAACTAGAGATCAAGATTTCTAGCATCTATACCCTCTATATATACTAGCTTTCTTTATTGAAATAGAATCTTTGGCCATTCTGATAAACACAAAAGTCATCTTCATATTTTGATTGAGCAATCAATTCTTCTGAAAACAGTCATTTGAATATGTCTTCCCTGAGGTCTGAAACATGAGTGAGAGTCTTCACTGGTCGAGTCTTTCTCTGAAAATGAATGTTTGTTTTTTGGATTCCAGAATTCATCCCACAGGCATTTGGAATGCCCTTATCCCAAGTCATTGCAAATGACCGGGCCTATAAACTCAAGCAGGACTCACAGAGGGATGAACAAAAGGATGCATCTGATTTTGTTGCTTCCCTCCTCCCATTTGGAAATAAAAGACAAAACAAAGAACTGTCAAGCAGTAACTCATCTCTCAGCTCCACCTCGGAAACACCAAATGAGTCTACATCCCCGAACACCCCAGAACCAGCTCCTCGGGCCAGGAGGAGGGTGAGTTGGCCAGTATTTTCTCTGTCACCAATGCTAGGACAACTGAAGATGTATAAGGTTATTTTTTTGAGCCTCTGCTCATATGAAAACTGTAAATATAATTTGTGTCCAGGTATCTATCAACAACTCCATTCAGAGAGAATTTACACTGGCTATATGGCCCCTGGAACACCCTCAAAGCCTTTCCTTGATCCCTCTCAAAACTGTTGGGTGCCTCTTCTTGGTTACCGACATGACCCATGATATCCTGCACATTCAACAACATCACCATTGATCCTGATCTATTGCAATTTTTTTTTAATTTTTAATTAATTTTATTTAGTTATTTTTCTTTTTTTATTTTATTTTTTTAATTAATTTTATTTAGTTATTTTTCAAGTACAGTTTTTTGTCTATTTTTCCCATCCCAGCCTCCCCCGCCCCTTGCTCCCCACCTCCCTCCCATTTCCACCCCCCTTAGTTCTTGTCCCTGTGTCCTTCCTATTTGTTCCTCCAAATCCCTCCCCCTCTTTCCCCTTAACTTCCCTTCCCTTTTGTTGTATTAGAAGACTCTCCCATGAGACTGTGAGGCTTGAGGGCAGGGCTGATATTTTGGTTAATTTCTTCATCTCCAATTGAGAACCATGCTTGGCCCAGTGACTTTCTGCTGGTTTTCAATGACACTTTTCTTATCAATGGTACTTCCTTTTTCCCAAACATAACCATAGAATTATGTGTATGTGGGTATATAAAATCAGTAGTGATATAGTACTTTTTATTAAGTGAGCATTTTGTCTAGGTATTATGCTATTATTTGGCATTTCAAATTTCACATTTCAATCCAGGAAAGTTGAGTCTTCAGGATAATTGGTTGGTGATTGGATGAGTCAGTTGATAAATGTTCCTAAAACTCCCTATATCCCTGGGACAAGAGATCTTCCCTCATTTTTCTCTCACTGGAGTCCCCAAATCTTTGTCACCTCTAGCCATAGACTACTACTGCCCTAGTTAAAATTCCAGACACTTTTCCATTGAAATTCTTATTTCTTAATTGGTTCCCAACATTCAGGACCTCTCCAAGACAAAGAGGTACTTGAGTCAGTGCTGTTTTTCAAGGCTTCAGCTATGTTTAAAAATGAAGAAATTATGACAATTATGGGACATTTGAATTTGCATAGTAGAATTGTTCTTCCAATCCTGTCATTCACTGTTTCTCAGACTGTCTATACAAACCCATATGTGGTAATAACAGCAGAACTCTACATTAGCATTTTCTGGGAATCTAGGGCCACACAACTGGCCTTCCAAATACTCTTTCCTCTGTTCAGACCTTCCCATGACACCAATAGCCAATGTCTATGCTTTATCAAAGAATGGGTGGCTATACAGACATGGTTGGTTCCCTGTTTCCTTCTCCTCAGCCTTTACCATTCTTTGCATGTCAACCCTCTTTTTACCTGCCAGTACCTCATCTCTTTGCTGAAGGCTTTCTCTGATGGCCAGAGAAGCCCACCCATGCAGCTGACAGGCTTCAAGTACTGAGGCATTAACATCATGTCCCTGCCCATACGGAAGCTACTCTTAATCAATGACTGTTGACACCTGGAGTATAAATACCCAAGCTCCCTCGTACCTTAGCAGGGCTACCTCTGAGGTGTTTTAGCTACACTCTCTCCAAGAGGTCCCCATGCAATTAGACTCCAGCTTCGCACAGTGGTCATAGGTTTGGTGATCTGCTTTCCCTTCCCCTTTGGTGGCTGCTTTCCCTTCCCTTTCTCACTTCCTCACTCCCCGGCAGGTATCTCATAGGACCACTTCCCTAGTAAAGTGCTTTGTGCTGTCTCTGGGGGTAAACAAACTAAGAATGTTTTATGGAATCCTCCTATTTTTAAAATCTACTTTCGAGAGTCACAGTTGAGTTTTTTTCATTCATAGGACTTCTCTAACTACCTCATTCATTGAGTATGTGATGTTTTCTTGTTTCAAGGAACAAAGTGGTTGGGTCAAAATATTTTAATTATGTATTTGCCACCTCTTGTCCTTAATTTGGAAAATGTTGTCTATTGTTAAAATTGTAACTGCTATTACCTTACCCTATGTAATAGAGGTTTTCTAACTTTTTCAAAAGATGTTCATTTCTTTTTCCTTTTAATATGCAAACAGCACAATTAAATCAAGCAGTATCGTTTCAAGTGTGATACTTATAAATAAAAGTATTTCTGTATGGCATCTGGGGGAAGCTGTTTTATTTTCTCTGGCAGCACTCTTTGTTCATATCTATGTGTGATTTGCAGGGTGCAATGTCAGTGGACTCTATCACAGATCTTGATGACAATCAGTCCCGACTGCTAGAAGCTTTACAACTCTCCTTGCCTGCTGAGGCTCAAAATAAAAAGGAAAAAGCCAGAGATAAGAAACTCAGTCTGAATCCTATTTACAGACAGGTTCCCAGGCTGGTGGACAGCTGCTGTCAACATCTAGAAAAACATGGTAAGCATGCTTTTCTGTCAGTGAGCAAATACTAAAGACTTTAATTGATTTGAGCATCATTCATTTAAGCACCCATTTTAATTCTGTGTTCATTTGATCAAACTCTGCACCAAAGTTTCCTTTGCGAAGATAATTTATGGATGTGTTTGCTTGAGAGATTACTTAACTAACCAAGATTTTAAGTGAGGAGAATCTATTTGATGTCTTTCAAACTGCCCACACCCCAAGAGTCTTCAGAAAAGTGACTGTTAAGGCTAAGCATTTTAGGGGACTACAAGATCTATTGCACTGGGTCTGTCCCCAGGGTTCCCTTCAAGCAGAGCAGAGACACTTTTATCTTTTTTATGCCTTGAAGTTACTCTTAAGACTTCCTTTACAAAATAAGAGTCCAGGTTCTTAAAAGAGGATTTGAAAACCATTCCTAAAGTGAATAGAAAGTATACAGCTTTTGACAACAGGTTACTAAAATGCTATTTGCATTTTGTGGAATGTGTCCACTTAGAATTCTCTCACAATGACCCTTTGTGAACTCAGTTCCATTTAGTATGTTGACTTAAAAATACTGTACAGGTCTTAGAAAATATTACTGAAATTTACACCTGGCTCATCAAATGGCCATTTCCATGATCTAAATTTGTTTGCTAGTGTTAGCATGCATTTTGTGGACATGAGTAAATTCTTTTAACTGCTTCTTTATTCTAAAAATAATATGCTCATTGTAATAAAGGAAAAAAAGAAAACAGAAAAGGAAAAAATTCTGGGCTATTATGTACACATCACATAACATAACTACTGTTGTTAACATTCTCATTTATTTCTTTCTAGTAAAACTGAAAATTCATTAAAAATTATTAAGGCTATATCTAAATCTCTTAATAAAATCATTATATAAATTGAGACAACTGTACTTGAACAACAATAGAATTAAAAAAACAATAATAAAGAAAAATAAGTCATTATATATGGAAATCCCTTGACAACATCTGAGTGACTTAATTAATTGTATTGAAATTGTATTTGTTTATATAAAATTTTAATATGTGTGTATACATCTGTGTGTATATGTTTATCTGTCTCTTCCCCTTGACAGGTAAACTGGAGGTTAAGGAAAAGGTCTTAGTAATTTTGAATTCTTAACACTTAGTATCATGATTAACATAATGTACATGTCCAGTGAATATTGTTTGAACATAATTGTTTTTCAAAAAAACTTAACAACTAAAGAGTAAAGTACTATGAATATGTAAATTCAGTTTCAATTACACTATGAGGAAGAAAAAGAGACGCATACTTTTATAACTATAATTTTCCCTATAAAGTTATATAGAGAATGAATTGTAAATATGTTAAAGAATTCTAAACAAGAAAATTCCATTCCACTTATGCAAGAATCCAGAGACAGGTTGAGTAATTGCTTTTGTGAAAGAAAATTTAATACATCTTTTATTTTCTTCTTGAAAATAAATTATAATTTGTAAAATTGCATTTTCTTTAAGCTTATTTAAAAACAGGCCAATTCCTTTCTTTTTTGGAATAGTTAAAATGCAGTTTAGGGCCTAAAGGAAAGAAGATAACCTGCATGATCTTTCAAGGCCCCAATTATGTTCTGGGTTTCCATGGTGTTTAGACCAAATGACTCCAGGAAAATAAGAGACACATTCAGAATCAAACAGATATTAATCTTGTTCACTTTAAACCAATGGAAAAAAAGCAAACTTCAAAAATAATTCTTTCATAAGACTTTTCTTGCTAGTTTTTGAAATGGGTAGCAAGACTTTGATTCACTTTAGCCTTATAAACATTTATCAGAGACCTTTCTATTACCTCCGAAATTGGTCTAGACAATTATCTGGCCTCCATCTATATTTGTGTACATAACCCTTCCCCCCTTATATTTCATCCAAATGCTTCCTATACTATCAAGTCAAAATTTCTTAAGCATCCTCAATTCCCCAGAAGCACACATTTTTTAAAAAGACAATATAATGGAGAGTCAAATGCTGTTATATTTCTGGGATTTAGGACAATTATAGGGTGGGGCCTCCTACTTATTATGCTTGCCCTTGTTACTTGAATTCCCTAAGCCTGACATTCAGGTTTTCTGCGTCTAGTTTTCATTTCAGTTTCTGATGAAAAGGAAAGAAAGGTGATCACGTCAATTTCTGCGACAGAACACAGCAAAGTCACGTTTCTTTGCCAGATCTATGCCCTTTTTTACATACAGTTGTTTTTTATTAGTGATTGTCTTAAGTGAAGGTTGCTAAATGTCTAAACTGTATCTTCTCTTTGAAGAAAATCACTATGAGGCTTATGTCAGAGAACAGCATGGGCTATCTGAGTGCTGTCATTTGCTCTACCTAAGCAAAGTAAATAAATAAAATAATTTTTAAACTAAAAATAGATAATAATCACTTGAGATATATAGGAATTGTAACAATTGATCACTAATTAGTTATTTTATAAGCTGTCATCATTTTTACCAAGTGGAAAAGTCCTATAATTGAGAAAAATCATGTCATGGAAATGGATATTTCTGGACAGCCTAGAGGAATTCAACCAAATGAAAAATATCAATATCACCTATGTAGAAAATGCTGTTATGTGATATCTCACTTAGGTAGAAATTCTAACTATCTGAAAACCATCCGAAAATAAGAAAATAAATGTGGCCAAATGTACAATTGCTAGACCTACTATTATATTAAAGTTTTCCACTTTGCACAGAGAAGACTCACTCAGTACAATGAGAGCATATCTCTCTTTATGTAATATTTGATGACATATGATTCTGAGTAGTTTATATGCATTAATTAATTGAATTACTGTCTACCTTTTGAGGTGGATACTTATTATGCTTATTTTGCAGATGAAGAAATATAATTTTGGATTTGATTCTAATCACTTGATTATCCTGTTTTCAAATTCCCAGAGAGATAGAAGCAATGAATTACACTGGAAGTTAAACTTAGTTATGAGGCTGGCACATTGATGATAGCAAGAAGATGGTACAGAAGTTTTTTGAAAAGAGATACAAAGCAAAATCCCACCCACAAGCAAAGCACCAAGAAAATTAGCCTCTCACCTTGATTCTCTCAAATCACTCTGGAAATTCAGGACACAATTTATAAGATATAGGAGTAGTAAATAGGGTATTTATGGATTTTATAGTTTTTAACTAAAACACCCTGGAAAACAAACTAAAAAGTCTTATACTTAATACATAATGTGGCAAGAGCATAAAATATGTATACAGAAAGACTGTACTAGTGAGAACATTTTCAGTGGCAAGAGAGAGGAACCAAGATAAAACCAGATTAAGCAAGTCACCCCCTACAAAACAATCCTATTTATATACTGAGAATCTGAGTATTATATGTAGATTCAGGCATAGCTGGATTCAGGGTTCAAATGATGCCATGTGTCTGTAAGTCTGTTTGCTGGGTTTATTCTCAGACCAGATCTCTTCATGTGGCTACAGAACACACTGACAGCTCCACTCCAGCATTACCTCTGAGCTGATTATTCCAAATGAAGACAGAGTGAGCCACCATTTATTCTGCAGTGAAAGAATGAATGCAGACAATGAACATCAATTGCCATAAATAATGCTTGCATAGGAAAGGGAGTGTTTCAGATATTTTGTGTCCCTGAAGGAAGTGCATAATACATCTTATGAAGTATTTTGCCCCCCAAATCAAACCTGAATCAGAGGAAACTCTGGCTCTAACTATGTCTTCAAAGGAAACAAAGGGAAGAAAGTAACATACAAATGACACCATGATTGTACAAATCCAAATGATGGGGAAATCTGTAATGGGAAATCAATGCTCTGTCTTCATGAAACCAATTACAGGGAAAAAAAACACAGAGAGGGGAAACACATACTGTAAGAGACTTAGAGGCACATTGACTTAACAGTTTATGACTCTCATGAGAATGTTAACTAGAAACTTAATGATATTAAGGGACTATTGTTGAGATTTCCAATGTGTGACAGTGATAATATTTGTTTTAAGAGTCCAAATTTTTGCCCTGGCTGGTGTAGCTCAGTGGATTGAGTGCAGGCCTGGGAACCAAAGGATCTCGGTTTGATTCCCCATCAGGGCACATGCCTGGGTTGCAAGCCAGTTCCCAGCAGGGAATGCACGAGAGGCAACCATACATTGATATTTCTCTCCCTCTCTCCTTCTCTTCCCCACTAAAGATAAATAAATAAAATATTTTAAAAAGAGGCCTAATTTTTTTAGAGCAAGTTGTCTCAACCTCCATGCTGCTGACATTTTGGGCCAGGTAACTCTTTTTTATGCATTGACCCTATAATGCCACTTCTAGGACATGATCCTAAGAAAATCAGTAATGTGAACTAACACCTACATACAGTTGTTCATAATAGGATCATTTATAATGCAAAACAAGTGCATGTATGTTGTGGGAGCTACATGTCATTCAGAGGGAAATATGTGAATTATGCCATATTCATACAATCAAGTATTTTGCATGCATTTTAAATGACATTTACAAGGAATTTTTATTGGCATAAAAATTCTTACAGCATAGTATTGAGTAAAAGTAATAGCATTCTCTCTCTCTCTCCCTTTCCCTCCTCCCTCCCTCCACATATACAGGGATGGGTAAAAGTAGCTTTACAGTTATGCATATGTGAAACACAGTTTATTCTTGTATTATTTCTTAATTCTTGTATTATTTATTTGTCATACAAGTGTAAACCTTCTTTTGCTCACTCCTGTATATATGGAGAAAAATTTGAATAGAAATAAACCAAAATTTTAAGAGCAAGTATTTCCATATCAGGTATTTTTCAAAGTATATTATCTTTGACTATACTTTATATTTTTCTACATTTTATAGTTTTTTAATAAGTATATGTTTTAATATGATCAGTAAGCAAGAAATATATATTTTAAATATTGATAAAGAGCTAAAAATCTCATAAAATGCATGATTAAGAATTCTGAATAAGAAAATTTTTCTCATATGGAGGTGTGGAAGTACATAATATCACATGAAAAAGATTTTTATTAGAAATGTGTAATATCAAATTGTCCTGGTACTTGCAGTGCTAACCTATAGGTACCTGGAGAATATATAGGGAGGATAAATAAGCATGAATACACACTGTTAAGTTATTATTACTCTGCATATTGCAGCTCAGTACTGGCCTTCTGTTCTGTTTCTATTTTGGTTTCTTCCAGAATCTCAAGCCATTAAACCAGAGTGATATTGTGTGCTTATTTTCAGGCCTCCAGACAGTGGGGATATTCCGAGTTGGAAGCTCCAAAAAGAGAGTGAGACAAGTAAGTGCAAAGTAAACATTATATTTTATGTTTCACTTGAATTTCAATTGAATCACCTTATTCTAAGTTCAAGTTTATGCAGCTTCATTTCTGAATATCTTTTCTGTACCTTCCTGACAATTATAGTATAATTAACTCCGAAGAGATAAAAGGCAACAACTCAAAAATTCAGAAATGTTCTGATTGAGTTAGGATGAAACACTTGAAAGCAAAATGTCCAGATGTGTGCTTGGCATGTATAGCAAACAAAACTAATATATAAATATCTTATCAAAACTGTAAAAGCAACAGATTCAGAGATACCTAATCGGCAAGTGATAAGAATAGAAAACAGTTGTATAGCACCCATTTTTACTAAAATGCAATATGAATAATGCGATTAACATTTGTATAATGCCATGTTTATAACTTTACTTTCTCAAGAATAAATAATTCTCCTGGAGTTTTCATGAAGTCATGATCCCCAATTCATTTTCAATGTAGGGACTGTATTGGGCAGCATTCTTGCAACTGAAGTTTGATATTAGAACTTCAGGAATAGGTTCCTGTGACCAGGTTCCTGTGTTTATGATGGTTTCATAAAAGGCAAACCATCCTTTGAGAAAAGAATTCATTTGTTGGATAAAAGAAAATTAAAATGTTATTTTGTCTTTGTTGGTTCCAACAGGAAGAAATGAGGGACTTAACAACTTAAAAATGAAGGTACCTGGAGAATATAGTGGGGGATAAATAAGCATAAATCAAAATAATGTTTAGTTGGATGAAGCTGAAGAAATATTTGTTCATATTATTGAAACTAACTGAAATAAATCCCTCCTCATCTATATTTTTGTCAAGATCTTTGTTTAATCTTTACTGTATTTTTCCATTACTTTTTAGTCCTATTTTGCTCCCACCCCTAGCAATCCCCACAAAGTTGTCCAGGTCTATGATTCCTTTTTCCTCTTTGCTCAATCCCTCCACCTCCTAACCCCCCCCCCAACTACCTGTCATCTGCTCTCCATCTATGACTCTATCTCTATTTTCCTTGTTAGTTCAGTTTGTCCATTAGAGTCCATGCATGAGTGAAATCATATGGTATTTGTCTTTCCCTGACTGGCCGATTTCGCTTAAAACAGCAGTGTCAAACTCATTTTCACTGAGGGCCACATCAGCCTCGTGATTGCCTTCAAAGGGCCAAAACAATTTTAGGACTGTATAAATGTAACTACTCCTTAACTGTTAAGGAGTTGAAATTACATTTGGCCTTTTAAAGGTAACTACGAGGCTCATGTGGCCCCCAATGAAAATGAGTCGGACACCCCTGACTTAGCATAATGTTCTCCAGGTCTGTCCATGCTGTTGCAAAGGGTAAAATTTTGTTCTTTTTTATGGTCAAGTACCATTCCATTGTTAAAATGTCCCATAGTTGTTTTATCCACTCACCTACTGATGTGCACTTGGGCTGCTTCCATATCTTGATTGTAAATAACACTGCAATGACTGACTATAAGGGTGCTTATGTTCTTTCAAATTAGTGTTTTAGGTTCCTCAGAACAATTGTCACAATATTAGTAGTTAATTAATCACTTTTAGGGTTACTATTTTACTACCTGTTTCTCTATCAGCCTGAGAACTAGTGGTAAAGACTTTGTCTCTTCATTCACTACCACTATTTGAGGGCCTGATACCCAGGAAGTGTACAGTACATATTTGTTGAACCAGTGGATGAATGAATGATTTAACACAAAAACTCTTACAGATGTTTATTACATAGAATAGATTCGTGAAATTACATAAGTATTTCCACAGCAGAGAACAATATATAAGAGAAGTTGAGGTGTCAGTGATGAAAGTAGGCTACAGACTTATGACTCTCTTCTTCTTGCTATTGTGTCTTCTGCTGCTATAAATAGTAATAAACCTAGTATAGTGATTTAAGTCAGAAAATCCTTCTGGGAACTGTTCATAAGGCTACTTGATAAATATAAGGCAGCTTTTTAGTAATTATTATCCTTCAAGACTTAGTTACAAATGGCTCATTGGGATTTTAAATTTCATTGTTTTCAGAAAAACCTCTTTACTTTCTTGCTGAGTATTTCTGTAAAATGTCAAAAATCCAACATGGTAAGATTGCTGACACACAAAACTACTATATAATAGATTAATTCTTCCCTCCCACATTTGTAGTTGACCTAACCCTTTAGCTCTTCCTCCCAACTTCTGGATGTCATTATTGAACCCTTCTGTTTGCATCATTTAGATACTTTTATAATAAAAAGTATACATTAATAAAAGTATCACTAAGATACTTTTATTTAATAATGCATTTTATATATATTCATGGCTGAGTTTCATAGACTCTGTATATCAAGGTGACATGTTGCATCTCTTCCTTGGGTGTGCTCAAACTTAATGCCAGATGCTGTAAGTCACCGCACTTCTTTTGCTTGGTCTGAACATAGACGTGTGGTGTTATGAGACTGCCATTTGAACTGTTATTTTTCTAGTTACGTGAGGAATTTGACCGCGGGATTGATGTCTCTCTGGAGGAAGAGCACAGTGTTCATGATGTGGCTGCCTTGTTGAAGGAGTTCCTGAGGGACATGCCGGACCCCCTTCTCACCAGGGAGCTTTACACGGCTTTCATCAATACTCTCTGTGCGTATTATAGACATTAGCAGGAATGTGTCCATGGATTACCAGGATGTCCAACTCACTCATCCAAACTGTGTGCATGTGTTTCCCAATAACTTTTTAGTTCCTATTTATTAGTCTCTGATGAGTGGGTTACTTGGGGAATTTTCTGAGATTTACCTTGGAGAGAATTACCAAGAAGAAAGTTGCAATAAAACAAATAGAAGTGGCCAAGAAGACTTTGGGATGAGCCTAGGACAGCAGAAAGTGCTATATATTGATACTTTGAAGTATCAGCAAGAGTTCACATTGAGTCTGTGCCTAAAAATGAGTTTGCATTTGTTGTATGAGGAAGGAGTCAGAAAGAGACCCGGAGTGAGAAATTGGGGTGGGTAACATTCCAGGGGAGCAGGATGGCATAGCCCAGTGCCAGGACTTTCAGTGTGGCTGCTTCAGGGCTAGAGACACAGATCCCACTGGAGAGAAAAGGAGGGTGAGGGGGAGTGAGAATAGGCTAGAACTGTGTCAGCCTCCATATCTTTCATCCTCCAATGCTACAATTTAAATAGGACCCCCAAAACAGAGAAGACAGTATCGTTGTATGCTGTCGTGCTTATTGCCAACAAAAAGTCTATTGCTTGTGTATTAACTCAGATGTTATAATGTTTACCAGTTCTCAGTCATTGTTAGTAAATATTAACCAAAAATGAAAGATGGTAATACATAAAGTAAATGATGAATAATGTCAGGAAAAGGAGGGAGAAAAAAGTAAAGGAAAAAGTAAGGGGAATTAAGTTACTTTTCTTCTTTTTTTCCATTTATTTAAATATTGTTCCAGTACAGTTTTCTGTCTTTTACTCCCATCCCAGCCCACCCCCCCAGTGCTCCCCACCTCCTTCCCATTTCCACCCCTGATAGTGTTTGTCCATGTGTGCTTTATACTTGTTCCTGTGAATCCTTCCCCTTCTCCCCTGAAATTCCCTTCTCTCTCCCCTCTGGTCCCTGTCAGCCTGTTCTCTATTTCAGTGTCTTTGCTTATATTTTGCTTGCTTGTTTGTTTGAAATTAAGTTACTTTTCTAACCTAGGTTATAATGCTTATTCTAGATGTTACATTTCCTCAGGTCTAATTTATCTTTTTATCCTTCACAGAATCTTGCTGGTAAATTGCTAAATCAATGGGAGAGTTAGTGAAGGAATGAATGTGACTTGATAATCCCTTTCTGAAAAAAGTTGAGAGGGGGCCTCTCCTCTGAGCCTAAATAGTGTGAGTTGCCCCATTGTACTTACTTAGAGCACTTTTTTTTGCCTTGCTTAGTGTTGGAGCCAGAGGAACAGCTGGGCACCTTGCAGCTCCTCATCTACCTTCTACCTCCCTGCAACTGCGACACACTCCACCGCCTCCTACAGTTCCTTTCCATTGTGGCCAGGCACGCCAATGACAACATCAGCAAGGATGGGCAAGAGGTATGCACCCCTCTGCTGCCATAGACAGTGTGACTCTTCCCTTTTCTTGTTTAAAAGGGCAAGCCATTGATTTGATTCAAACTTTTCACCTAGTGGAAATACACCTTAATTTTCCCCACCTGTCTATGGAGGAAGAATTAATGCAGGGTTTTCTCTAGAAGGACAATTCCTAAGAGTGTATAGGCCATTAACATCCTATGTTTCAAGGATGCTTCTTAATGAAGCAGTCATTTTTCAAGATGATGTTTTACTTCAAAATCTTGGATTTCCATTTGTGCAAAGCTAACAAACAATGAACTATAGAGATACTTACAATCATGAAAAATGGAGTAATGAAGATGAGGGGAGGTTTCTGTCCTTGTAAGTAATTTGATCTGCTTCTTTAAATTGGAGTTGAAATGTGAGGTCACCTCCTTATAAGTTCAGTTTGCTCCTGGAGCTCCTTATCTGCTGTATAGCTAGAAGTCTACTATCTTCCTTTTGAGAGGTGCTTTCTCTCCTTAAACCTTCCCCCAAAACAGAGACCGGCTCAATGCAATGGAAGACCAGTCCTGCTTCGAAACCAGGTGTAGAGGGAACTAGAAAGTATGCTCTGCTGCCATTACCATGAATGTCAATGCCACGTGGTATCAGCTGCTGAAGGCAGGTTCTGCACAGTGCCACAGACCCTTTTGAGATATTCTTGTTGGACCTGGTCCTCCACTCAGGCCTCCCTCATCTGAGGTCTTGGGATCCAGTTTGTTTTGGTCACATTCATATGTTTTAAGGTATTCTTAGGTTTGAGCCTTGGACAAAGATGTTTGCCTCAATTTTGGGTAAACTTTCACCAAGCAACCTAGTTAATCTTCACCTCAACAAGAGACTTGTTTCCCTTTTTGATACCAGGCAGTCATGCTTCTCCTTGCTCTTAGATTACCCAGGAGGACTCAGACCCTTCAATATGCTAACACACATTATAAATCAGCAAGAAGCCAAAGGCACTCCACACTTCACCACAGAATTCAGCTGCATTATGGATTCAATTCCGTGTTTGCCAAATTTCTTTCCCAAAATCATAGTCATATATAATTTTTTCACTGTAATCCAGAAAGGCAATTCTGCATTTCTTATTCTCATCCCTCATTTAAGTATAAGAATGGAACTTTCCTGAGTTAGCAATTTATCTGTTTAGTAGTTATAATTAGTGAAACCTCTGCTGGCTTCAGGTTTCATAATATGGTACTGACACCTTGTTTCAGCAGACACAGCTCTTTGATGGATACACTATAATTCTCATAATTGTTAAGTAGTTATATTACCCATGTTGATGTCATCCCTTATCGACTATAGATATAACAGAAGCTGTAGAATCATCTGCCTAATCATTGGGTAAAGGCAGAACACTGTCTATGTTCCTAGGTGTGTCAGTGCTTCTCTGACATTTCTTAAGTGCTATGTAAGAAAGAGAAAGTTGCATCTCAGGTGATTAAGAGGGAATTGAGGAAAGTAAAAAGTCCAATTAAACTCACTCTTGGTTTTTTAGAATCATTTTCAGACACTCTTTTAGTCCAGATGCTGAACAAGACTCCATTGCCTATGCTAAAGGGAAGAAAATATTCTTGGACAGGTACAAATGAAACTTAGCATGCTGAAATACTAGTTACCAATAACATGTCTCTTGTTATTTCAATAACCCTGTGCTAGCTATTTACTGGGGGGTTTATATATTATAGTGAATCCTCCATTACTCATTGTAGATATCATTGACCCCATGTTTCAGAGGTGAAAACTGAGGGTTCAAGGCAGTAAGTACCTTTCCCAGTGTCCCACAGGGAGCATCCACAAGTTATATATTTCTGCATTTCACAGCTCTCAGGAGGCACCATGAACCTCACTGTCACTGTAGATTTGCAGATATATTGGGACAATATCCCAGGAAAAGGCAGTAAAATATCTTGAGGAAGGGATGCCTTTTTCTAATTCACAGAAAGTTGTCATATCGGATAGTAGTGGTTGGGTTGCTCCCATAATACTAAAGGCCCAGCTGTGCCTCAATCCAAACCAATCTAACTTAATAAAAACAGAAATATAGAATAAGAAGTAAAAAAAGGCTTACTAGTCTAGTTCATGGATTCAGAACCTCCATATGAATAGCATTTTGAACTACGTAATTCTTTGTAGTGGGAACTGCCCTATGCATTGTGGGATGCTTAGGATCATCCTTTGCCTCTACTCACTTGATAAATGCAGCAGCTCCTTTCCACCCCCACCCTAATTGTCACAACCAAAAATGTCTCTAGACCTTGCCAAGTATCCTGTGAGGAGGGTGAAGGGGCAAAACACCCCTGGTTGAGAGCACTTAGTAGCTTTATAGATCACTGGCCATGTGTTCTTGCAAAAATCTACTAACCTTCCTAAACCTCAGTTGACTTATCTGAACTTTGGGAATTCTTCACTTGGCACTGTACATTGCTTTAGAAGACTAATTGCTATAAGGAATATGAAAATACCCTAGTAACAGCAGAATTGTACAGGGAAATGAGAGATTCCAAGGGTTTCTACACAGTCTTGACCTAAACCTTAAATCAAAATGACGGATTAGTTACCAAAAATTAAAGCTGCAGGGGAAATGTAAGGAGAGCCTTGCTTCTTTGAAATGGTTGTAAGTTACAGGAAAGCAAGTAGCCTAAACAGCCATCTTAGATTGGATAAAGGCTACAGAGTGGGAAAGTACTGATGAGGTATAAGGGGAAACTGGACTATGTTCAGAGAGTAATGAATGCCTTTGTAAGTGGTTAGGTGACTGATTCTTTTAAGGTCTGAAAGAATCTTTAGAAGGATTCCACTAAGGTGGTATAATCCATGTTGTAGATTGGTTAGACACAGGGACAGTGAGTTAGGAAGCTTTTGTTTGAATAGCAATAGAGAAAACAGCAATTTGCATTATAAGTGTTTTCATATAAGAATGGTCTTGATATCTGAACCATGTACATCCTGGGCACCTACCCTGAGTTTCTCTAAACCAGAGAGTATTGTTGAGAAATTTTCTAATTACCATTCCTGAGATGCTATGGCTCTAGGAGATGGAGACCATGAGGACACGGGGCAAATACAGAATTAGGGAGTGCAGTGCAGAGTCACTGCAGAAGTTCAGAGAAGACTTTTCACCATGTTCATGATGACCATGGGCCATAAAAGTTAGGAATGGCTTCATGGAGGGGACTGAATTTAAATTATACCTCGAAGGGTGTGTAGGAATTGAGTAAAAGCTGTGTGGGATTGAATAAACAGCACATAAACACTGCATAGAAATGGGAGTTAGCTAAAATCCCCTTCTGGTAGAAGTTAAGAGTAGAGGCAGAGGAACAAGAGAGGGGTTGTTTATTTATTATTCTCTTCAGTTGGTTTAGCACAACTAGGTAGAAAATACAGAATAAGTAGACTGGAATGAGACAAAAATTAAATTGTAAAATATGGTAAAGAAACAAAGCAATTTCAGCTTTTTGTCTTACCTGTTAGTTTGTGTTAGATGTTTTAACTCTTTGTTACGTAGTTGTTATGAATGGGAATATAGAAGAAAACTGAACCAGGGAGTCAGAAAGCTTGGAGCTCACACAGGCTCTGCAGCATCTTGCTACATGACCTTGTATTTATAGAACAAAGGAAGAGGAAGGAAAACCAAGTTGAGGTGGAGGGTAGGTTTGAGCTTACTCCTTTATAAAATGAACATAATATTTCCTTTCTAATTATTGCTTAAAAGTCAATGCATCTTTAACTAATGAGATCTTAAAAATGTCTAAAAGAAGGGCATGAGAAAAGTTGTTGACTACTCAATCGGTGCTTTTCTTGGGAAAAATAGTGGTATTTTATTAAATTGTATTGTTTTTCTATCTCGTGTTTGTTTGTTTTATTCCATTTTGTCTAGTTTGCTATTTGCTTTGTTCCTTAGGGGGAAAATAAATTCCCAAAGTATGAAAGATTTCATTTCTTCTAGAAAAGTATTGCAGGAACATACTTGAAACCTCTAGAGCCATAGTTTTGCAGTTGTCCAAGAACCCTCTGGCATTGCATGGACAATGTGGTGTGAATCTACACTCTTTTGGTGAGAGAGTTCGAGGATGGCCTTTAGTTTTCAAAGAGTCTATGAAGCAAAAAAAGAAGTTACAAACTGCCAGGATTACTGACCTTTGAGGAGGTACATGCCTCCAGGAAATGGGAGGTTGGCTTTGGAACTGTAACAGGATCAGTGAGTACTTGCTCTCCTCACCCTGGTCCTGGCCCTGCCTTGAAGCCAGTATTTCATTTCCCCATGGAATGATGGTCTGCAATTCGAGTATGAATAGTGAGAGGTACAGGGTAGTGATGAAGATCATGGGTGTACCTAGAGCCAAGCCACCAGCTTTGCTTTTCAGCTCTACCACCTCCTGGCTGTGGGCTCTAGGTGTCACTTCCCTCTCTGCAAAAAAGGGCAGAAGCAGCAGCTGTTTCATGAGCTTCTAGTGAGAATATTTGAAACAGCCTATGGAAAGCCCCCTAGCCCGGTTTATTAAATAAAACTTCAATAAAAGTTTATTAGACTTTTAATAAAAATTAAATGATGTTCATATTAGAATTAGAAATGATCTAGGATGCTTATTTAGTAGAGATAACATTTTTCTTTGAATTGACTGGCTAATAAGGAAATAATGCACCAACCCCAAGTGCACATTATTAATATACATAGACATAGCCATATATGTACTGAGACATGGGGAGCAAGGGTAGAAGCTATCATGAACCAATCTCCAATTAAAAAAACAATAAAAACAAAACAGTGTTAACAAACCACAGCAGCACAGTCTGGAGCTGGAATCTATGTGCAATTTTACAGACAGATTGTATTGCATTCCCAGAATAACAACAGGAGAAGGAAAGAGCGGAAACGGAGTTCTGGATTGTCCTTGTACGAAACATTCTTTTAAAAGAAAACAAAATCTGGGAGGCATCTAGAAGACAGCCATTGCAAACTAGGACGAGGGCTCTCATCAGACAGCAAATCGGCTAGTACTTTGATCTTGGACTCTCCAGCCTCCAAAACTGTGAGAAATAAACTTCTGTGGTTTAAGACAAAAAGAATCTTCTATTTGTTAATATTTAAAAAATGAGAAAGCTCTGATATTACTTTAATAGGGGAAGGGAAAGCACTTCAAATGCTTCAGAGTTCTAGAAAGATGAATTGGAAAATGACACATATTTGATTTTATCCTTAGCCATGCATTTGCAGGAAGAGAAATGAAAAATAAAATCAGTGCTTGCTTCAGCCACACATATATTAAAATTGGAACGATACAGAGAAGATTGGCATGGCTTCTGTGCAAGGATAACATGCAAATTTGTGAAGTGTTCCATATTTTTAAAGTTTGAAAAAAAAGAAAAGAAAAATAAAATGAAAACTTGGCAGGTTTTATATCAGTGAAATAAAACAAAGAAAAAAATAACAGTTTTACATAATGGGCAGTTTCTTGAAAATTCCCAGTGTTTATCAGGTAAAAATCAATTTACTTGGCAGCAAACCCCAAAATAGCCTCACCTAAAAATAATGCCTGTCTTGTGACACCCTGGGATTGAAGGGCTGCTAGCCACCACTTCAGTGCTCCACAGGGCAAGAGTGAGACTCAGGAGGCTTTGTCTTGGCTGTGAATCAGGACTCAAATTCTGTTCTGTGCACCCAGGTCCCTGTCAAAGACTGCAGATAGATCCCCACCAAGCAACCAGTTCTCATACTTATCCAGGAATTCTAGATTTTCAATATCAACAAGAGAAATTTAAAAAATTGCCTAGACCACTGGCTTTCAACCGGGGACAATTTTGCCCCACAAGAGACATGGGCAATGACTCTTACCTGGGTCTTTCCTGCCTTTCCTTCAGAACCCTCTGCCACACTGTGGTTCCTGATGTGTATTAAGGTATTTTACATGTTTCTGTCTTTGCATATGGTGTTCTCAGCACTGTGAAATTGCCTTCTGTCCCAGCTCCTCTGTTTTTCAGCCTAGCAAAGTCTATTTTTTTCTTTAAGTTTTTGTGCAAATATTGCCACCACTCTGGAGTGTCCCCGGGGCCTCCAGAGTTGATAACTTCATACTTTGTACTCATTTCTGGTAATTCATAAGTTTCTTTACCCTCTACAATATGAACCCTTAAAATAAGGACTGTGTGGTGACCATTGTTGGAAAAATTTTAAATAATAAAAGTTCATGAAAAATGCCTAGCCTATGGTAGGTGCTGAGTGAATGGATTAATGGAGAGATGGATTCATGGATGAAGGGATAGATGGAAGGATGGATGATGGGATGTATGGATAAATGGATGGATGGACATCAATATTTGTAATGAGCAGACAGGATAGAAATTTTATGTAGTACCAGTTTCACAATAAATAACTTGGAGTTTTAAAATTTTATTCAACGGCCACTGCACTATGAGCTTCAATCCAAGATACAAAGCAAAAGAAAAATAGTGGTACCTACCCCTCATAGATTCTACCAGAGACTATGTAGTCCTTGCAGAAGAAAAGGAAAGGAAAAGGTTCCATTGATTGTTGAACCACTTGGAATTTTAAAAGGCAAAAGTAACAGTTTTTGTGTTTTCTGTTTCTATAGGTCACTGGGAACAAAATGACATCTCTAAACCTGGCCACCATATTTGGACCCAACTTGCTGCACAAGCAGAAATCATCAGACAAGGAATTCTCGGTCCAGAGTTCTGCCCGGGCTGAGGAAAGTACAGCCATCATTGCTGTGGTTCAGAAGATGATAGAAAATTATGAAGCCCTGTTCATGGTAGGTGGCCTTTCTTTGGCAGGGTATCTTGTAAACTGCCTACCGATTGCCTTTTTGTGGCACAATGAAACACATGCACCAGGTCTATACTGCTAGTCAATGAATTCATTGGAAGCCATGTAGTTTTAATGAGAATAGAAATTTATAACCTATGATATCACTTTACTATGATTCTTTTTTATTGTACAGTTATCTGCATTTTTTCAAGTACAGTTATCTGCATTTTCCTCCCATTGCTCCCTCCACTCCAGCCATCCCCACCTCTCTCCCCTGATTCCATCGCCACTTGGTTTTGTCCATGTGTCCTTAATAGTTGTTCCCGAAATCCCTTCTCCCCTTTCCCCCTATTATCCCCCACATCCCCTCTGGTTACTGTCAGATTTTTCTTAATTACAGTGTCTCTGGTTATATTTTGCTTGCTTGTTTGTTTTGTTAATTAGGTTCCACTTAAAGGTGAGATCATATGGTATCTGTCTTTTACCACCTGGCTTATTTCACTTAGCATAATGCTCTCCAGCTCCATCCATGCTGTTGCAGAGGGTAGGAGCTCCTTCTTTCTTTCGGCTGCATAGAATTACATTGTGTAAATGTACCATAGTTTTTTATCTATTCATTTACTGATGGGCACTTAAGTTGATTCTATGTTTAAACAAATGTATTCAAATTATAAGTTTCAATCTGTTGTACCCTAAACAATGGTCATGTTTTGGGGTCATTTAATTATTTATGTACTAGTATCCTTGCTCAAAATATTGATTAAAAACCATTCCCAGGGGATTATATGTGGTTCTCATGAATTTATATATTTTTAATCATTTTCAGAAATGGCAGATTCTCAAGGTCAATATTGACATTTTGCCTTCTCCATCAAGCTTCACCTAACTTTCCTGTGTTCTTCTCATGCCACTTGCCCATATCATTTCTTTTTCCCTTACCCCATTTCTGTTCTTATTGATGTTTATTTTAACATTGTAGTACAGTCATTTATGAAATGTTTCCCCCAGTAGATTATAAACACATTTAAACACGGGCTGTGCCCTTGTTATCTCCAGTCTGTATCCTCTGTACACTTTTGGAAGGCCCTTCATCTGGCAGGCACTCAATAAATATTTTTTTGATTTGTATTGAATTACCAGTTCCTGTTTTCCTTCAAAAAACTGCATTGCTTGCTTCAACTTCCCTTGAAATATTAGAACAAATGCCAACTCTCTTTTATTTCTGTTTACCACTCATACTGCTTGTCAAAATCTACAGGAATTTTCTCTGTGTTTCTTCTCCCATTTTTCTTGTCAATGTGCTATCACTCACCATAAATCTTACATATTCCACTAGAGCCTTTTGTGTTTCCACAATCAAGTGCGCTAGTCTCCTCTTGAATATTCTCAACATTTTCTCTATATTTTTCAAATGCCTTTCATTAGATTTATTTCCAAATTCATCTTATACCAATTATTTTCTATAAATTTGAGAGCCAGTGATTTAAAATCTTTGCCCTCTATGTCTTATATATATGATTGTGATCAAGTAATTCATACTCAATAAGCATCCTTTTCAGTTTATGAAATGGAAAAAATAAAAATATGACCTATTTCTCACAGTACTTCCCAGACTCATTTGATATGTGAATGTATTCTATAAAATATAAAATTGTATGCAAATATTAATTACTGATTGTATTAGTTGAGCAACATGAACTGGCTCAAATCTTAGTTCACAACAGACATAAATATCTTGTTGACATAAACTTTAATCACATGTTTGCTTGACAACCTTACAGGTCATGATTTAGGGAGATAGTTCCTTGCATCCTGAGACTCTGCAATCCTCTAGGATTTATAAGCCAAACCTAGAAGGGACATCCATCATGCCCATTCAAATGCTATTGGCCAGAACTGAGCCACAAGACATATTTAACTGCAGGGAGGGCTAGGAAAGGTATGCTTTCTGGATGCCCAGAAGGAACCAAAAATGGATTGAGCAAAGTCAAAATTTCACTGAGGTATAACAGTGTCTTGCTCCTCTTTGAGCCTCTGAAACACTGTTCCTGTGTTGAATGCAGTAAGCTTTCAAAAAATGTGAAATTTGTCATTAACTCTATATAAATTTCACACATCAGCCCAAATCCTCATAATTAATAACATATTTGGATGAATCAAATGACTAAACTTTTCAACATATTCATCAAGTTTCAAGTCATGTACCATTTTGCCAAGTAGTCTTGGCATTACTTCATGCTCTCTGGATTTTTTAAAATATATATATTTTAAATTATATTTCAAGTACAGTATTCTGTATTTTACTCCCAGCCCAGCCCACCCCTCTCACTGCTCCCCACTTCCCTCCCATTTCCACCCCCCTTAGTTGTTGTCCATGTGTCCTTTATACTAGTTCCTGTAAATCATTCCCCTCTTTCCCCTGAAATTCCCTCCCCTCTCCCCTCTGGTCACTGTCCCTCTGTTCTCTATTTCAGTGTCATTGTTTTTATTTTGCTTGCTTGTTTGTTTTGTTGTTTAGCTTCCTATTAAAGGTGAGATCATATGGTATTTGTCTTTCACCACCTGGCTTATTTCACTCAGCATAATGCTTTCTAGTTCCCAAAATAATACCTCTCATCAATCTTAATTCTGTTCTCTAAATTCTGTATTCTAAGATAAGTTCTTTATGTGCAACCACAAACCATCAGGCATTTCTTTTCACCTCTGACACTAAAAGCATCTCTTCCTGGCCTCCTTTAAAGTACAGTTGCTACCATGTTAATTGTGCCATCCTTCCCCTTCCCATTTCCTGCCACCTGGGCTACTAACAACAGCAAAAAAACATCAATTTTCCACCTTTTCCATTTTCCAGATCTGATCTTTGTTTGCCACTCTCCATGGAAATTGATGTCAAGAGTCTCTTGGGTTATAGCTCATATTTTGGTTCCCCAGTTGTGGTCTTTACTTCTTAAAGAGGCCTTTCCTGGCCATGTAGTCTAAAATACAGCCCCACCACCATCATGTACACACTTCACTTGCTGTTTCCTTTTCCTGCTTTTTCTCCTTAGCACTCACCACTAATATTATAGGGTTTTACGAATTTCTCTTGTTTGTTGAGTGTTTTCCCCACAATAATATAACCTCCATGAGAGGATGAATTTTTGTCCTTTCCATCTATTTTCTTTACTGTGTTATGTCTGCGCCTGGCATATGGTAGAAACAAGAAATATTGGTTGAATTAATAAATGACACAATGGTTGTTTGTGACATAATGATTTTTGTATTGCTAAACTGTACTCTTTATACGTATGAAAAGGTCTAGGCAGGAAGAAATTAAGGATAGCTTTCTCTAAGCATTCTTGATCTCAGACAGATAATGGGAATTACATATTGATTTAAAAAATGCAGTGGGATGACAGGAGTTGTTAGACAGAGATTCCAAGCCTGGGTCAGTAAAAAGAAAACTAGTTCTGGAACCAGAAAAGTTTGCTATAGCCTTATCTTTGCTATACCTTAGTTATGTGACCTCACCTTCTTAGATTTCTAATTCTTTAGTTATCTATCAGAGGACTACGTTAGAATGAATGATTAGCCAAGATCTCTTGTAGTTTTAAAATCTACATGGTTCCGTTCCCTACCACTGACTTTACCTCTTTTATTTACACAAAACACAGAAGAAAATTAATCTTATCGCTGTGTAGGTTCTGTTGGCATATTTGGCATTTCAGAATCCAGTTGAGTATACCAAAGCTGGTAGCTGGTTGGCAAATGTGGTCTGTGTGGGTGGACAAAAATGCAATCATGTATATAGCTGTTTCATTTTGTTTTGTTTTGTTTTTAAGAAACTTTCAGAATTAGTACAGAAATTTCAAACAAGGAAGAATAAAGCTACTCAGGACCTTATAGTTCAAGGTAGTTAGCAACTGTGCAGTTTCACAGTCCTTGGAAAGGCTTATGAGCTCAGAGAGAGGGGCATTGATTCCCATTGGCATTAGAAAGGAAGATTTCTTAGAGAGGGTGGCTGTAAGTATGTCCTTGAAGGCAGAATGCACCCTGGAAGCAGTGATTCCACAGAACTGATGCAAGAGATATAAAAACTCACAGAGGCCTGGCAAGGACCCAAAGTTTGTTCTGAGTGTTAATAATGTTCTTCATTTCCTTATGCCTCTCCCAAGTGGCCAGTATCTGAGTTAATGGGAAAGGGCAGAAAAGAACCTGGCTTTGTCCCATAATACAGAAGAGGTGCCTAGATTCAGAGACTGATATATGGTTCAGGAGTCTGACTAGGACAGTCTTTTGCACCAATTGTTTGCTTTTTAAGCACTGTGTTTGAAATCCTAGAACTGGTCATGATAAAAGCCATCATAAGAACTCTTTTGAATAGTGACCACCATGATCATTCTGTTGAAAGATGAAAGCGGCAGATTGTAATAGGGGTTCTCAAACTTGAGCATATAGCAGAGTCACAAGGAAATTCATCAGACATTCAGATTTCTGGGTTGAACTCTAGAGAAACAGATTGAGTATCCCTAGGATGGGGCCCAGGAATGTGCACTATATGATGAATACTTTCAGAGCATACTGGTACTTTTGTAACCACACCTTGAGAAATACCCAAGATGGTGTGGGGGGCCATGAGCTTTGGAATCAGCTACCAGAATTCAAATCCCTGCTCAGCCATGTATTTGCTATGTGATGCTGGCCCTATGCTTAACTTTCCTAAGTGTTCTTTTTCCTGTTGTAAAAAGAGAGACATGAAGTTACCTACTTTATAGGATTATTTTGAGAATTGGAAATGATATTTTAAGGCACTTGGGACAAAATTTGACATATACTAGGTGCTCAAAAACCAAGATTGCTGTTCTTATTGTATTACATTGACAAGATGTCTGCTCCATAAAACAGGCATCATTACCAGACTAAAAGAGTCCATTTGCCTGTGTGCATCAAAGCTCAATAATACATGAGCAGGAGCTTGCAGCAAAGAAAGTCAGGGTTTATTTTCAGCAATACAGTAGCTAATTG